TCTTTCCTTTTCCATATCTTGTTTTCTTTCCACTTCTTGAGTATTCAACAGTAACAGCCAGGGGTTCTTTCTATAACTTTCCCTCTGATCATATAATCATAGATTTGCATATATGCACATATTTGTATATGACTCTTTAACTCAGTTATGTCATTTAATCCTCACAATTACTCTTGACCAATTATACCCATTTTAGAGTTGAGGAAACTGTGGAAACGAATTCATTTCAGGCCTCTATTTATTGGGTACTTACTACTTACCAACTTCTATGCTAAACATTATATATTTTATCCCTTAATCTTCACGATGTTATTTGCAGTTTAGGAAATAGATTACAGAATAAAGGAAAATTGTAAACAAGTCAATAGTAATGCAGCAGACTGGTTGCAAAGCCCAGTGCTGTCTTGTTACCTGTCACTCCTCTAAAATGCCCTCTGGGTTGAAGAGAATTCAGAGACGTAAGAATTGTTATGCTAAGAGGATGGTGGAATGATAAGTGGACCATTAGAAACATCCTGCTGTGTTACTGTAGCTATTTTAATAATTGTCTTGTTCCCTCATATGTAAAACAGCAATGAAAATATCTGAGTTGCTGAGGTCCTAGTAGAATTAAATGAGACCACATTAAACTCTTCTAAACTATAAAGCAGGATACGAAGATGAGATCAATTAAAATATTGTAAATGCAGTTTATTGGTTTTCTTTTTCCTGTTTTATTAATGTAATATTATTAATCCCCAAAGCAGCGTGCATCTGCTGGAAGAAGTCAACAATACTGAGATGCATATTGAAGTTAATAATCTTCTCCCTCATACTCCTTCCCCAACTCTGCTTTCCTAAGGTAACCAGTACGGTGTTTGGTTGTGGATACTTCTAAACTTTCTTTATGCCCATGAAAATATTTGACTTAAACAGGTATAGAAGCTGCTTCATTTGGTTGCAATTGTTCTATTCATGCTCCTCTGCAACGTGTAGAATTTTCACTTATCTACTTAATGGACATTTAATAATTCCGTTTATGCAGCCGGCTGATTTGCACAATATCTATAGTATGAACACATATCATTTACTCGTCATTACCCTGAGTGTTTCTTCAAAAGATTCTTTTGGAGAGAGAACACCCCTCCTACTTCATTACTTCTCAGTATCAAACACTGTCGCTCCCTCTAGGCAGGTTTGTGACCTTTCTAGGTAGTAAAGATTTTTCTACCAGTCTCCTCTCAGAGGTGCCTGACTTCTGTGCCAGCAAACTCAGCCTTGTTCCAGTTCCTCTTCCTTCAAATTTCTTTTTTCTTCCTTTCTTTCTTTCTTTCCTTCCTTTCTCTCTCTCTCTCTCTCTCTCCTCATGGCACTTCAGAAGGCAGCAAATAGGAAGCCACACACTGCAGCAGCCCCTGAAGAAATCCTTCAGAACTTAACACTAAAGGGCAATGACAGAGGATGCCCTTCTGGGCTGTTTTGGGACCAGTATACCTTTAGTCTCTGGAAGAAGGATGTATCTGGCTCCCACCGATGTGGCTCAGACTCTCTGACCTCTTCTTGGATTGAGGCCTTCTGTATGCTTCTCTGTCCCAGCTCCTTCTCTCTACAATCAACCTTCTTCCTCACTTACCATCGTGATCTTAAAATCTCATCATGTTCTTCCTCAGCTCAGAAACTTTCAATGGCTTCCCATTTTCTTTGGAATAAAGTCCCAACTTTTTACTACAGAGTTCTGGGAAATTCACTATTTTCAAAAGAGAACACCTGTCCTCAAAACACACCTTCCTTCTTCTGGATGCTATCAAAGTTCCAGCACCGGGTTAAATGAGACCACATTAACTGAGGTGCCATCTTCTTCTTCACCTGTATTCAGTTAATTCCAGTGTCCTGGGCTTTCTGCCTCAAAAAGAATTCTCAAGTTGGTCTATATCTCTCCACTCCCACCATTGAGAACGCTCTTTCTCATCCCTCTCCTTCCCATGAACTGTTCCTGCCCTAACCTTTTCTTAGAGCCCCAGAGCCTGCAGAGTCAGAGAAGAAAGCTACTCTAGTACAGTCCAGGGCGCTGAGCGAGGGACTAGCGATACTGCAACTGTTAGAAGTAGCTGGGCATACACTGCTCCTACGTTCATTGTTTTAAGTCACTGTCCACTTGAGGAATTTAAAGGTAGTTTATGGCAGAAACATTATGGGACTTGGTATGATTGAATTCTGCTGTATCTGTTAGGTTTACCTCGGTCACCTATAGACATGCTTGTAGTTACAGGGATAGAATCTGGGGCTGGGAGTCTCATTAAGCAGTGCCTTGCTCTCTACAAGTAAGACTGAATGACTCTATGGCCGGTGGTTGGACTGGAAGCTTCTTTTATCTTTGTTTCTTTGGGGGAAATATAGTAATAGCTTTTGGTGTAAATGCATTCAGAGAAAAGTTTCTGTGAGAAACAATATGGAAAAAGAAAATTACCCAAACATAATACATTTCTGCTTTTCTCTCTGCTAGTAGAAGGCAATGGGCAGAGCAGGTAGCTAATTTTCAGAATCTCTCAAGATCTTCTGGACTCTGGACCAGTCCTTGCTTCAGTACTTCTGCCTCCCTGAAAGGTGGAATATAGAACCTGGAAGATATGTGATACTTTCTCCTGGCATACTGTCAACAGGCCTGCAAGGCTCTCCTGTGAAAATCCTTCCCTCGTGGTTCCAGGCTGGAGGTGGGGGATGTAATGCACTCCAGTGGAAGAGGAAGGAGAGGGAGTTAGGCTAGAGGGGACAGCATCAGGCAAAGCCATGTGGGTGCTAAGTGTCCCCGCTCATTTCTCTTCTCATTTAATTTAAAGCATAAGGTCCTTTTCCTTTAGAAAACTCTCAGGACTTGAGATTTTTATGTGTTTTTAGCATCGGAATTGTTCGATAATCTTTTCTCCTTAACCTTTGTCAAATATTTATTGCAGTAACATACATTCCTCATTTGGCTAATTTTTTCCTGCAGATATGTCAGATATATTGTGTTCTCCAAATTCAATTCCACAAACATGTAACCCAGGACCGATATGCTCTGGACTTTAGCCGTTGAGGAGGCTGACTTACATCAGTTACTGTGATCTGACAGTGATGTGTTATTAAGAAAAAGTGCTAAAAGGAGAGTTAAGTGTGAAGGGAGGGGACTCAGAAAGATGACAGAAAAGCAACAATTTAAAGGGGTGGTAGGGTTTGGAGTCAGGAGAAGGGGCTCTAGGTGAGAATAGGACATTGCTGGGGTTACTACTGAAGACTTACTAGGTCCTGCTGGCCCAGCCCCTTAACTTTCCATGCCTACTTTTCTACTGTGGCCAAGGAAGTCACTGCAGAATTAAAATGAAGGCAGGCCTGATTATGTTATGTAAAAATGTGCAGATCCTTAGACAGCTTGGTACACGGGAGTAGACAAAACTCTGACTAGAAATCAGAATAGCTGAGATTTGGTCCTAGTTCTGCTCTTGCGGCCTTGTGATCTTGGGCAGATCCCAGCACCTTTCTGGGCCTGAGTCTCACTACAGGTAGAGTGGCTATAACAATGCCTGCCAGGGCTAGCTCTCGGGGTGTTTGTGAGGATCAAGGGATCTACAGCTGGGACTGGCTGGGGGTGCTGGAAAGCAATCCACAAGATCCCTGGCTGGGTGGAAGAGGAAGGGAGTTAGGGAGCAGCAACCGAAGCAGGCTGACCAAGAGATGAAGAAGAGGGAGGTGGGCTGTCCAGGAGCCAAGCAGAACCTGGGAAGAAAGACAATGTTAAAGCTACACTGAGAAGTGAGGGTCTGGATCAAGTGCATAAATGTCTGTGACGTGATTTTCCAGCTTACAAAATGCTCGTAACTTTGTGGGACTGACATTATTTATAAAATGGAAGTAATCACGCATTTTGACTCTTAAAGGTTGTGTCTAGCTGGTTTGTACCTAGTCAGGCCAGCATGCCACATGCCTCCACATGGAACATATCAGACACGCTGTGGTATCAGCACAACTGGCATTGCCACAGTCCTTTTCTCTGTGGGGTCTTCCTTTAGTGCAGCGTCCCCTTTATGTTCCCAGTCCCTGGCACAGAGTAGGCACTGTGGAATCGTGAGGTAGCTAGTCAGACGTGAGCTATAGGGGAATGAAAGAATAGAGGCTCAGCCTAGAGACCGCCCAAAAAACACCCTGTTGGTAAAGAATCCTTCCTGCATCCCCAGAGACAAAAGACTGGAGGGCCATAACCTATAGCTGCTTTAATCTGGCCAGAGACACATATGCAGAAGGTACTACCCTAACCTGCCCACAACCTCGGCCTCATGGTAAAGAATCCTTCCTGCATCCCCAGAGACAAAACACTGGAGGGCCATAACCTATAGCTGGTTTAATCTGGCCAGAGACACATATACTACCCTAACCTGCCCACAACCTCAGCCTCCTTAGACCATTATTATAATACCATGTCTATGCCTGGCAGTTCATGAATATAATTATAACAGATAGAGTTCTGGGTAAGCACATGTGCACTAGGCCAAGTGTTACATAACAGCCAAGTGTCAATCAAAATGACCTCATGTGCCAATCATCTAGTAACACCCTTGCAAGCACCCATCACAGCCCTAATATAACGCAGACCTCCCCACTTCCCTCCGGGGTACATATCCTCTTTTCCACGTGGTTAGCCAGTTTAGGCTTGATTTGTCTTCTACTTCAAAAGATGCCTCTAATAAATAATACCTCTCATACCTGTCACTGAGTGGAAATTCATTTCATCAGTGATAAGGACCGAGACCTGTGTGTTACCAGACTTCAATCACCGTGATAGTAATAAACTGTCTCTAGATTATGAGCCCAGCAAATTTTGGAAAGGACGTGGTCCTGGTCACGTCTTTGAGAAATAACAGAGAAGACATTTGTTTGGATAAGTTTCCTTGAGGGTAGGGTTATGATCCTTCCTAGATGTATGACTGTATTTTTTAAATTCAAAAAACTACCATTTGGGGGCTAATTTCCCAAAATAAGAGTCAACCATAAATAATTAATAAAAGTTTTATTAAATCATTTAGACTTGAAAGAAGTCACAATAGTTAACACACTTAAGTGTGTTCTGTATACCACCAACCCAAATGGATTGAGTTCAGAATTTTTATAAATAAAAAATAAACATATTTACAGTGAAAAATAATAACATGTTAGTAAGTTAGATGATTAATCTGTTATCTATAATCAGTTTGGGGAAATACCAACCTACAGGATTACATATAAGACATTTAAGATCTTATTAGGTTTAAAAGTCCATAATTAAAGAAGTTAGTTGTAGTATGCGATTTGTTTCTTACTACGGCTTTTTTTTTTTCATCCCAAACCAGAACTTTTGACCAATTTAAATAAAAAGCTTCATTTTCCCTTTTTTAGAGGTAAAGTACAAAAAGTTCTTAAACGCTCCCTAGAACCATCTAAGGAATAAAGCTATTTAATGCTACAAATGGCACTATAAAACTAGCTATAGACGTAAACTATTATACAATCTGTGCTATTTGTACTCCAAAATAGTGCAGATTCCTAATTTACCCACCAGGGACAAAAATGGAGTCAGCTTTTTTGGAAATCAGTTTCAAAACCACCACTGTATCTCTAGAAAGCATATTTCTAGAATAATATAGTTACCATATGCAGGGGCTTTCATTATTCTGTACTATAAAAATATTTCCACTGTCATTCTCTATATATTTTAGGGATTGCTTCCGCCTCCCTAGGCCAAAGGTGAAGACTATAGAGTGTGGCCAGCCAGTTTCAAGAGACCAATGAAGGAAAAGGACCACACACGACTTAGTGATAGTTCTCTCCTCGTGTACAGCAAAAATCAAGAGTTGGCTCAAATTCAGTCCCCACCCCGCCAAAAAAATCCAGTTTAGATTTGACTTAGACAAAATAGTCCAAAATAAAATTGAACAAAGAACAAAATTCTCAAGTTCACAATTTTGGAAAGTCACATTCCTAGGACGTGGGCTATTCTGTGTCCCCTGTTAGGGGGTGGGCACGGCTTAAGGCTAATTGCTTGGCAAAGGGATATGGGAGTTGCTGGACTGTCTTGAATGTTTTGTTCCTGATGAACTCATGGAGCGAGACCTCTGTCTGAGCACTGCTTTTCCTGGAAACTCCAAGTCCTCAAATATAGCATTTTCAATGATGTTTATAGCTTCAGGCCGTTCCATGGGGGATGGAGAGAGCATGTCTTGAACCATCGCATACTGAAATATAAAAATTGTTTTGTGATAAAAGTCCCAGGTTTCAACTACTAAACAGTTCCCTAACTCAGGAGTCAGCAAATTTTTTTGTAAATATATTCAGTTTGTGAGCCAGTTTCTGACGCAACTTCTCAACTCTGCCATTGAAGTATAAAAGCAGCCATAGACAATATGGAAACAAATGGGCATGGCTGTGTCTCAAAACTTTATTACAGATATAGGCCACAGGCTGGATTTGGTCCATGGGTCAGAGTTTGCCAACTCCTACTCCAAAAAAATATGGACCATTTGTGGGTAACTGTTTGTTTTCTAACTATAATAAAGGGTTTTAAATCATATCTGTGAAACTCAGACATAACCCAACTTTAAAAATAAATTCATCTTATGACTGCATGTAAATGTACAATTATCTCAATAAAAATTTCAATTAAAATATAATCATGCCAGAGGTCAATATCTAAGTCTTTTTTTGATTTTTTTTGACCTCTTATTATGAGCCACCTTGAGAACTGATTTATCAAATTTGCAAAATATATAACAAAATAATTTTTAGTAAAACATATTTCCTTTTAGGTTAGTGTATCTCTGTAGTATTATAAAATTCATTTTAATGCAATTCTTCATTATACTTGTAATATTGAAAGATAAATTTAGACTTTTTCCAATTTGATAAGATATGGTCTAATTTACTTGAACTTAATTATTTAAGAAAATTCAAGGATTATAAATGTATAAATTTTAAAATGATGTTTCTGGATGAAACATTTTATGAATTAAAAATAAAAACTGCAAAAAGAAACTTGAAATGTTCATTACACATAATTTTCACCATTCAAGACCAGCTAAAGTTCCTTCCTACTCTTCTGAACCTTTTACTGTGTCATTCTACACACAATCAATGGAAATGAGTGCCCTCTACCCCTCTGAAAGAAGCCCAAACTCACTAAGATGAAGTAATTAATGGCATGATCATAACGGCAGCTCTATTCCTGTGAGGGTATGCTAGGATTTCAGCCTTATGGAAGTGAAAGGTTGCTACAAATAGGATGTCATGCAGCATGGAACACAGAACAGCAGGCCTACAACCCGGCTCTGTTTTCCAATCTTTGGTTTTAGCAAGTGTGTGTTCTTGGGACCAGGTCCTTTCCCCTCTGGACCTTTGGCTAACTCATCAGTAAAACAGCGAAACTCATGAACTGACTGCTAAGGACCTTTTAAGTTCTAAATGTGATTCTAAAGAAAATACAAGATAAGAATTATACAAACCTCACGAGGATATTTCTGAATAAAAAGTGGTGGAAAGCTGAGGTTTCTTACATCGGTTAAGATCTGAAAAGAAAGAAGAGTGTTACTATTTTAAATCCATTTTGATATATAGATCTATTTAAACATACGATATCTTTTGATATTCTAACAGAGTGACTAAGGAGAAAGAGTAAATATTAAACAGATGAAAAACCTATCAATAGCTTTTCCTGACTTGATAATCTATACATAAGTGCCATCAAATCAAAATCTAGAAAATCATTTATATAATTATGCTTGAATTGTACATGTAATAATGACATCTGGATTTTAACTGAGATTGATTTGCATGAAAATAATTCAATCATTCATGAATCGACACTTTTGTCCTTAAGTGGATAACTTTTTCTATTCGTATCTAACTTCCTTGCATTTGATAAAAGCCATGTTTTTTCTTTTATTTATTTACTGAGTGAGTGAGTGAGTTGATCACTCACTACATCAACTGTACTAAACACTGAGTATAAAACTAAGCTTTTGAAAGTTCTTTGGGAAATTTTCATACAAGTTATTATTCTCTTTATGTTCCACTTTCCTTATGTAAAAAACAAGGATAATAGGGTCCATTTTGTACGACTGTTTTGAGAATTAAATGAGGTAATTCCAGCAAACTATTTAGCATGGTGCCTGACACCTCTTTTGTAATGATGACAAAAACCAGTTTTGACATGAAATAAAGCAAATAAGTCTTCTATTTCCTGAGAAATAAGCTGTAGTGTACGTAAAAAAAAAGTAAGAACTGTGTTGGAATTTTTTCCTCCCACTAAAGGAAAACAGAAACTTAACTAGAAGAATTTATGCTGCAGGCCCTAGAAGGAGAGCTTCATTTGCTAATAAGTAGGTTGTACCGAACTAAGTGCAGGTAATGCTTGAGGCTGGACCCACAGAATTAAGTTTTAATCACATAACATTTTTAAACAAAGCTTTTTATTATAAAACTTAGAACTGAAAAAAGACCTTGGTCATAATTCAGTGGGGGAAATGGAGAATCTTTTCAACAAAAAGCATAGCATAAATGAAAAGATTGATAAACTGAACTTCAAAATTAAAACTTGTGACCTTTGAAAGATCTCATTAATAAAATAAAATAGCAAGCCACAGACTGGAAGAAAATAGTTATAATACAGCTATTTGGCAAAGGACTTGAAAAGATGGTCTAGGCCATTAGTCATCAGAGAAATACAAACTCAAACCATGTCATGATTCCATTATACTCCTACTAGAATGGCTAAAATTGTAAAAACTGAAATGTAAGTGTTGGCAAGGGCATTCAGGAACTAGAACTCTGATACACTGCTGGTGGGAATGTAAAATGACACCTTCTTATAAAGTTAAACCACTTACCACATAGCTTATCAATCCTACCAAGGTAATGGCTCAAGACAAATGAAAACATATGTCTACAAAAAGACTTGTTCACAAATGTTCATAGCATCTTTATTCATAAATGTTTCTCAATAGGTAAATGGATATTTGAACTGTGGTGTGTGTGTGTGTGTGTGTGTGTGTGTGTGTGTGTGTGTGTATATAGTGAATATTAATAATAAAAGGAATAAACTACTGACACATTGAGTAACATGAATGAATCTCAAAAACTTTATGGTGAGTCAAAGAAGGCAGACATAAAAGAGTATATATATTGAAAGATTCCATTTATATGAAGCTTTAGAAAAGACAGAAAAAAGATGAGTAGTTACCTGGGATGGGGGTAGGGGCCACAAGGGAAGGGGATTAACTGGGAAGGAGCAAAGGAAACTTTCTTGGGGGATAAAAATGTTCCACAGTTTGAATGTAGTAGTGGTTACATGAGTATATAAACTTGTCAAAACTCAGGTTTTGACTGTACAAACAAAGTGCATGCATTTTATCGTATGTAAATTATATCTCAATATAATTGATTGAAAAAAGGACCATGGTCAAATCACAGAATAGTCTGTTTTACATTAAGAGAATTTCAGAGAGGTTCTGGCTAAACATGGCAGATTTTCTACTACATTTTCAGTAAACATTTTCACTAAAACAACTGCAAAAGAATGTTTTCCATAATAGCTGCATCACTTTACATCCCCATTGGCAATAGATAAGGGTTCTAATTTCTCCAGATCCTTGCCAACAAATTATTTTATTTTTATTATTGTTATTATTATTATTATTATTATTATAGCCATTCTATAAGGTGTGATTATTATCTTATTGTGATTTTAATCTGTATTTCCCTAATGAAAAATAATGTGCTTTTTGGCCATCTGTATAACGTCTTTGGAGAAATGTTTAAGTCCTTTGCTCATTTTTAATTGGGTTGTTTGTCTCTTTTGGTTGTTGAACTGTAATAGTTCTTTATATATTCTGGATACTAGAACCTTATCAGATATATGATTCACAAATATTTTCACCCATTCTGTAGGCTGTATTAATTTCTTAATAGGGTCCTTTGATCTTTTACATATGTTGAATCTGTTTACTATCCATTTCTGGAAGCTCTTAGGGTTCTAAAATCTAGTCATTTAGTCATTTTGGTAGGCCCTTTTGGTTAGAAGATATGAGTCCTTTGGCTCTATTTGAGAACTACATCCTCTTCTACCATGGGCAGGAGTAAACAGATAGGTCTAAAACTGAGAACAAAATGGTGACAAGGGCATAAATTTTAGAAATGTGGAGGCAAGTACCAGGGACAACAGCTAGAAAAGTTGAGGGTGACCACTTATGGAGGATGAGGAAAAATATGACAAAGGCCTACATTTAAAAGACTTTCAGTACTATCTTCTTTAAAAAACCATGGTCATGGTTTGAGAGGAAAAAAAATTAATTATGCTTAGTTTGCCAGCTTTTATGAGTGTGTGGCCACTTGTCTTCTGGAAAATTCCCTCTGACCAAGCACCACCATCACTTTGTCTCTACCCTAGCTGTGCACTTATCACAGACTTACTGAGTACAAGATACTATTATCATGAATTTAGCAACAAGGAACAAAAAAAAAAAAAAAATTCAACTAAACAATTTTTGAAGACTGAGCTTTAAATAGAAGCAAATAGCCTAAAATCCTCCCTGTATAGCTCACATGATCTCTCGCACTTGTACTTACCTAGTCTGTTGGTATTAAGAATAACTGACTTTCCTTTTAACATTGTTCTTTTATAAATTTAAGAGCATTTTCTTTTTCTACCTTTTTTGAAGTGGGGAGAACTTACCCTTACTCTTTCCATCTGAGTACTGAAGGGGTACAACAATTCAAACAGAATGAGGCCTAAAGAAAAGATGTCCACTTTATGAGAGTAGTTGTTTCCATGAATCTGAAAGAATATTAGAAAAAAATTAACAGAGACAATACAATTGATACTATGGCATTGGTGAATCCCAAAGTTGACTTAGTCCTGTCTCTGTTGAAATGTAATAGTATGTGTAAAAATGTTAGCAAAGAGTTAACTTTCAAGCCTCTTTTCTTCAACTCAATACAGCAAGAGTAATTAAACTACTCAGCATCACAGAAGGAAAGCCCAGGAATAGCTCTGAGATATGCATCAGTAAAGTAGGCCCGGCAGAAACCTGGAGCCTTGCAATGCTTAAGTTTGTGGGAGCCAGTAAAAGCTGCTCAACTACCCCTGAGGTGAAGTTTTTCAAAGTGAACTCTATCTAAAGCAAATCTCTCATTTCTAATCATCTTAGTCCTCACCCATTTTTATGAGAAAATCTTCATTACTCCAAACCACTAATCAAGTGTAGTTAGCCCTCATTATGGCACTTAATTATGGACTACTTTGCATTCTTAGTTGTATTATTCTCCTGTATATTTCTTATTCTTCACAACTAGAGTATGAAGCCCTGGAGGGAATGGAACTGCTTCTTTTGTATCCAGGACTGGGCTAAGTATAGAGAAGGCTCTCAATAAATACTGACTTGTTAAAATGAACAGATGAATTACAACCCAACTACTATACTAAACAAAGTCTCATTGAAATTAAAAGTGACCTCGGTGGATTCAGTAGTACCCTTTTATTTGTGAAAATTACTTTAGGCACATAATTTGACATTTGGCAAAACTAGAGAAGGGCATCACTTTGGGAAAGTTCCACACCAGCATTTAATTGGGAAAGTCACAAGGTAGTAAGCAGTCAGGATTACAAACCCTTCACAATCTCCTCTCTAAACCATTTGATACCTGTCTCCCTGGTTACTCCCACAAGCTGCCTGCCTGGATGCATATAGAATATAGACGATCAGATAAAAAGTTTCAAAGAGGGCATCAGCTGCATCACCACCTTCTACTCTTCCCTTACCTTTTATCCCTGAGGTTTGGGAAGTATTCAAAGAAAATATGTTCAGAAACAGAGCTTATAAGGGTACAGTGAAAAGGACATCCTCATACGATATTAGAGAATATAAACTAACACACTCTCATGAAAAGCGACTGGTGATAAATTTTTACTCCCACTTGATGGTCCTAGTTAATTTCATCCACTCTAGGGTACATGAAAATGTGGACGGAGATTTGTACACAGGGGTAGTTATCTAAGTGATATTCTTAACAACAAAAATGACAAGTTACTAAAATGTCCAAAACAAATGTTGAATAAAACGCTTAACAGGGAGAATAATACTATGTAGTCAAAAATGTTTCCAAAGAACATTTAATAATGTGAGAAATGCTTACATTTTAATATTGTATCCAAAATTTTACAGACTAGAACCCAATTTTGCTTTCCAAAATAAGGAACATATAAAAATGTTAAGATGTATGTGTATATATATTACATAAAAGGAAATAAACACTGTTAATGTTTTAGAGATTTTTTAGTGATTTTTTTTGTTGTTTATACATTCCTATATTTTCCATATT